GTAGAGCTGGGACATTCACGCCCGTGAGGGACCCAGCCTGATCTGAGAAGACGTGAGAGGAGAGTTAGCTCTTACCTTTGACTTGTGCTTAAGGTGTGATTTGTCTTGGAGCCAAGAACAAAAGGAGAAGTAGCACCAGACTCATCTGCCTCTGAGGAGGAAAAGCTTAGTGTGAATGCACAATGAAAGGCTTCTGGACAGGTTTAATACACCATGACTTTACACCTATAGATAACATGAACTAGAGGCCATTGGCCCTGCTCTCTCACCAGCCCACTTACTTGGAACAGATCCTGTTCCACAGTTCTCCTGAGTTGTGTTTCAGAAGGAAGATGCAACTCTATGCCCTGGGCATCCTAAGCCTCTAACTGCTAGAAGCTGGGACTGGACCACTTGAAAGTTGCCCTGTTCTGTTCATTCCCTCTGAAGCAGCTGGCGCTGACCACAATCAGAAGACCAGATACTGGACTAGATGGACCATTGGTCTGACCCAGTATTGCCATTCTTATGAATGCCCACTGTGCTAGCCCTGCTCCTGCTGCCCTCCCGAGTTATAAGGGGCATGGGCATGTAGGGGAACCACAATGCCAGGGGTGCTAGCTGGTCTGTTGGAAGGGGTTTTCTCTTGGGATTTGGGAGCACTGCCAATACCCTAAATGGCTACATGCTCAGGCCCTCAGTAACAGGCTAGAGAAGTTTTATACCTGCACAACAGTTAAGCTTGCAATTGACAGGGCTGGGGCCTGGCACAGAGGGTTGAAGCAGGATATAGACTTGTTTACAAGAGACTGACAAGGCTGACCACTCATGAGATGTTTGCAGTGTTGTTGTAGCAGTGTCCGTCCCAGAATGTGAGAGAAACAGGGGAGGGGAGGCGAGGCGATATCTTTTAGTGGATCAATGTCAGTTGGTGAGAGAGGCAAGCTTTGGAACCACAAAGAACTCTTCTTCAGGGCTGGGAAAGGTACTCAGAGCATCACAGCTAAAACACAGGGTGGAACAGATGGTTTAGAATATGTGCTAACTACTTATACTAAAGGACCATTCAAGGTGAAGTGACTTGTTAAAACCCCTCGGAAGGCAGCTGGGGGGAAATGTTAGTGGGTTACAGATTGTTGGAATAAGCCATAAATCCAGTGAGGAGTCCAGTGGCACCTTAAAGACCACTGTTGAAAAGGCTAAGTCAATCAGGGTGGATGTGATCCACTCCCAATAACTGATGCTGATCAGGTGGTTTCTCAGTTTCTTTGAGTGTATGTGGCACAATCTCTCACCATAGTCTGTATTTGTGCAAGTTTTTTCCATGAAGTTTATGGATTTCCACTTCATACGGCTAAATTCAGTGCCTTGCATGGTGCCAAGTATCAGAGGGGTAGCCGTGTTAGTCTGTATCCACAAAAACAATGAGGAGTCCAATGGCACCTTAAAGACTAACAGATTTATTTGGGCATAAGCTTTTTCACAGATAGACAGACAGACATCTTCCTCTCCAAGTGCAAACAGATGGACAACATACCAAATGGACTGAAGGTAAAAAAATTCATCGCCATACTACACTAACTATGGTGAGAGATTGTGCCACACACTTTCAAAGAAACCGAGGAACCACCTGATCAGCATCAATTATTGGGAGTGGACCACATCCACCCTGATTGAATTGGCCTTGTCAACACTGGTTCTCCACTTGTGAGGTAACTCCCTTCTCTTATGTCAATATATTTATACCTGCATCTGTAATTTTCACTCTATGCATCTGAGGAAGTGTGTATGTTGGGGGTGTTAATCCACAAAAGCTTATGCCCAAATAAATCCTAGAATATCAGGGTTGGAAGGGACCTCAGGAGGTCTAGTCCAACCCCCTGTTCAAAGCAAGACCAATCCCCAACTAAATCATCCCAGCCAGGGCTTTGTCAAGCCTGACCTTAAAAACCTCTAAGGAAGGAGATTCCGCCACCTCCCTAGGTAACCCATTCCAGTGCTTTGCCACCCTCCTAGTGAAGAAGTTTTTCCTAATATCCAACCTAAACCTCCCCCACTGCAACTTGAGACCATTACTCCTTGTTCTGTCGTCTGCTACCACTGAGAACAGTTTAGATCCATCCTCTTTGGAACCCCCTTTCAGGTAGTTGAAAGCAGCTATCAAATCCCCCCTCATTCTTCTTCTGCAGACTAAACAATCCCAGTTCCCTCAGCCTCTCCTCATAAGATCTGTGCTCCAGCCTCCTAATCATTTTTGTTGCCCTCCGCTGGGCTCTTTCCAATTTTTCTACATCCTTCTTGGAGTGGGGGGCCCAAAACTGGACACAATACTCTAGATGAGGCCTCACTAATGTTGAATAGAGGGAAATGATCACGTCCCTCAATCTGCTGGCAATGCCCCTACTTATACAGCCCAAAATGCTGTTAGCCTTCTTGGCAACAAGGGCACCCTGTTGACTCATATCCAGCTTCTCGTCCACTGTAACCCCTAGGTCCTTTTCTGCAGGACTGCTTCCTAGCCATTTGGTCCCTAGTCTGTAACAGTGAATGGGATTCTTCTGTCCTAAGTGCAGGACTCTGCACTTGTCCTTGTTGAACCCCATCAGGTTTCTTTTGGCCCAATCCTCTAATTTGTCTAGGTCCCTCTGTATCCTATCCCTACCCTCCAGCGTATCTACCACTCCTCCCAGTTTAGTGTCATCTGCAAACTTGCTGAGAGTGCAGTCCATGCCATCCTCCACATCATTAATGAAGATATAGAACAAAACCAGCCTCAGGACCGACCCTTGGCACACTCCGCTTGAAACCGGCTGCTAACTAGACATGGAGCCATTGATCACTACCTGTTGAGCCCGACAATCTAGCCAGCTTTCTCCGATACTACAGAATATGCTTGAAGAAGCAAGTCCAGGATATACACCTTAACATACTCAAAACTGCCTTCACCAAAGGACACTCCAGAGAAGTAGCTCCAATCATGGAAGGGGACACCCAAATACCCCAAGAGAACCTGCTTCAATAGAGAAGTAACCCCCTTCCCCCAACTGCACAACCCTGCCACCTCACACTGGAATCCATATTTGGTTTCAAACAACTGGCATACAGAGCACATGTATAAAGTTCGCTGACGATACCAAGCTGGGAGGGGTTGCAAGTGCTTTGGAGGATACAATTAAAATGTAAAGTGTGGACAAACTGGAGAAATGGTTTGAAGTAAATGGTAGTTTGAGTAGTGAGTTCTAAAATGCCTAACCTGTCCTTGCTGGAGTAATTATCACTATGGTAAATTTATCGAGATATCTATAGCTCTAGAGAGATTGTGTTTCTACTGGTGGTGCACATCCACATACCTCAGTGCATATAACAAATTTATTCTGCACATGGATGGAAAAAAAATTAAGAGGTAACATTGTGACAAACTCACAGCGTTACTCATAGGCAGAGGTCATGGATTCCGTGACTTTCCATGACCTCCATGACTTCTGCAGCAGCCAGCGCAGCTGGCTCCGGGGCTGCCTGAGCAGCCCAGGCAACACCTGAGCCAGTCACACCAGCCACTGCTGGGTCAGTCTTGGGCCCCCCCACCCAACAGCAAGAGGAGCAGTTTGGGTGTGGGAGGGGGCTCAGGGCTGGGGCACAGGAGGGGATGATGTTGCTCTGGGTGATGTTGCTGCTTCCAGGGAGCACCCCCAAGGTAAACATGTCCCTCAGCTCCTAGCAGCTCTCATTGGCTACGGTTCTCCACCCCCCAGCGCTCCCAAGATTTAGTCAGGGGTATAGTACAAGTCACAGGCTGGGAATTTTCTCGCTCTCTCTCTCTTACCTTTTTTTTTTTTTTAAAAACACGGCCCATGACTTTTAGTAAAATACCTGTGACTAAACCATAGCCTTACTTATAAGGGGAGATTGAAAAAAATTGGGTTTGTTTAGTCCAGAGAAGAAAAGACAAGGAGAAAGATAGATAATATTTTATGTACGTGAAAACTGTTACAAGGGGGCAGGGGGGGAGAAGAGGGAGGAGAAAATTGTCCTCTAACCTCTGAAGATAGGACAAGAAGCAATGGGCTTAAATAGCAGTAAGGGAGATTTAGGTTAGCCATGGGGCGGGGGGAAGCTTCCTGTCAGTGCAGTTAAGCACTGGAATAAAGTTGTCTAGTGATGTTGTGGAATCCCCGTCATTGGACATTCTTAAGAGCAGGTTAGACAAACACCTGTCAGGGATGGTCTAGATCAGGGGTGGCCAACCTTGGCTCTGGAGCCACATGCGGCTCTTCAGAAGTTAATATGCAGCTCCTTGTATAGGGGCTGACTTCTAACTGAAGAGACACACACTGGATTTATGGTTTATTATAGTAATCGATAATCCACTAACTCCTCCCCCCAGCTGCAATCCGCCCCATGACTGGAGGGGTGTTAACAGGCCACTTCACCATGAATAAAGAAGAACAGGAGTACTTGTGGCACCTTAGAGACTAATAAATTTATTAGAGCATAAGCTTTCGTGGACTACAGCCCACTTCTTCGGATGCATATCACCATGAATGGTCCCTTGAAATGTGTTAACTACTTGTGCAAGAGCCAGCAGGAGGCTCAGTCCTGCCCTGTAGGAGCCAGTGGTTGCTCTCACTGATTTTAGCAGCAGGGAGGTGGCCTTGTCCATGCTATGGGGCTTCAGGGAAGAGATGCCCACTGCTTTGGATAAGCCAGCAGGACCCCGGCACAGGAGAAACCTCAGCAGCTGGAGACAAAGTGTGACCATATTCATTAAACCTGCAGCCCCAGAGCCTTGATGTCAAACTCCATCAATATTGAAGCTGTGGGAGCTCAGCAGGAGCAAAAAAGGGGAGGGGGTAAGCCTGTCAGTGCCCCCAAAATTCCCCAAGTGGAGACAGACACAGCCTTGTCAGCTACAGCTTGCTTTGGCCACAGTAGGATTTTGGCATGTTAACCACACACCCACCTTGGTAAAATTTAAATGTGGTAAGTATTGCACTATACAGCTTAGTTTAATAAACTAGTCAAGACAAAGCAGTTGTACTTTAGTATGTGCTAAAGTGGTCGAGTGAAACCCTAGCCACCACAATTTAACACCAAACCTTTAATCCTATTTAAAAGCAAAAGCCCACAGCTGTCTAAACTGGGTTATCTACAGGCGGAGTTGACCAGAGTAGCTATTCTGGGATGGTGCCCAAATGAGGTGGGGGCTGTTTTAGAACAAAGCATGATTTTATTCCAGGATTACTTCGCTTATGAAGGAAATGAAATTGGAATTGAAGTCACCGATTCTGAAATACTCAGGGAATTGTCACTGAACATTAGTCAGCTGCCATGTGTAGACAAGGTATAGTAGTGACTGGTAAAGCTAAAGGAGCCTGGTGTGTGGTTTCATGCTCTAAGGCCTGGTCTACACCTAGGTTGCTTCAGAGTGTGAAAAAAATCCCCCCTTCCCCACCGAGAGATGTAGCTAAGCCAACCTAAGCCCTGGTATAGACACCAGTGGGTCAATGGAAGAATTCTTCCACTGATCTAGCTGCCTCCTTGAGGGGGTGGATTAAACTTCAGTGACTGAAAAACTCCTTCCACTATTGTAGTAAGTACCTACACTATAGCACTTGTAGTGTAACCATAGCCTCAGCCAAGTCCTGGGAGGCATAGGTACCACATGCCAATGACAGAGACAACAGCTTCTTCACCAACACTCACCTGCCTCCCAGTCCTCTTGGCAGGGGGGACACTGCCAGGATCTTGGGGTCTCTTTCAGTTCCTTCTTGGGACTGAAAGTCATTGATGTCCCTGCAAGCAGAGGAGACACATTACAGGACTTGGAAGGAAGAGGAGAAGCAGGGTAGCTGATCTAGGAGTGAAACATGATTGTCTAAGTGGATCATGGCTCAGTTCTGTTAGCCAGAGGCCCAGCATTACAGGGGGTCAAAGGCCACATTTAACTGGAGATGATCCTTAGTTGGGGAAGATTCTCTGAACTCTCCTCAGAGCCAGGCTCAGGTCAGACTGAAGTGTGTCCAGGGTCTCTGCTCTCCTGTGCTGGCCCCAGCTCACTCCAGCCAGCTGGACAGCCTTTGTTCCCCAGAGCACAAGCTCATCCACCGTCAAGTTCCTGCCATGCACAGAATGGAGAAGCCTTTAAAAGCCAAACAGCTTGACAAGCTGAGAAGTGTTGGCTCCTACAACCCTAGTTGGGAAGACCAGAGAACTCTCCACAATCACCCTGACATTGCACAATGGGGCCCGATATGGTTCCACTGCTATAAACAGGGCTCACGCAGAGCTGATGCCATCGGCCCTATAGGGCTCAGTACACACACTGATTTCCAGAGTTCTCATTACAGCCGAGACAGGAAAACCAAGGAAATGTGAGTTTCCTATCCAAAAGCAGGACAAAAAGTAAAAGCCACCACACAAAACCCCCACCAAGTTTATCAGCTAGCCCCCTCCGCCAATTTGGTGCAAGTGAAAGTGTTTTGTTTTTGACTATTTTGATTAACTACAATTAGTTTCAAACTGTCATTTTGAACCAGAAAACTGGATTTTCTTATTTCAAGAGTCAAAGAATGGGACTAAGATTTTCCAAGTTGCAGTGTGTGTCAAAGCCCAAAGAACCCTTTCCCATGAGGTGTTCATGGAGATCAATGAAGCATTTGTGTCAGAAAACACTGAAGTTCCCCACTGGCTCTCCTCAGCACCTAGTTAGCCATTCAGCAGGGCCCAACACCCCAAGCCTGGTGTTGGGCACTTCAGAAATGCTGACCCCAAGTGCTCTGCTCTCTGGATGCAGGTTTGCAGGCCAGCCCCCCTCCCCCAGGAGATGTTAGGAGAGCTCCCGCCCCAAGTGAGCAGAGGGTAGAGACCAGGACTCTTCAGTGATGCCAGGTGACCTGCCCCCTGTTGTGCCAGGTAGTGAGCACATCCCCCAGCTAGCCATGAGGTTACTTCCTGAGCCAGCTGTTCATCTCCTGCAGGCTATGGGCATTGGGGAAGGAAAGGGATTTCTAGCCAACTCCTGCAGAATCTGTCAATGAAGGAAGAGCAGCACAAGCCCAGCCTGTTCTATGCTGGGATGTCAGCCACAAACTCTGCATGTTCACAATTTATACCAGTGCAGCTAAGCCAGCATCTGCTGGTACAGAGGGATGTGCTGGGCAACAGCACTCAGCCTTGCTCAGACCAAGTGCACCTACAGTAGTTGTGATGAGTGCAGGGGATGCACACATGAACTACAGATTGCTCGGGGCTTGCGCTGGTGTCCGGAGCAAAATGCCCTAGAACAGACTCCCTTGCAGTCTCCCTAGGCTGGGACAGGTCAAGTCAGTCAGCAGGAACAGGCATGTATTAAAGCAGGTGTGCTACCGCCGGCTCCCCCTACTCCCCCAAGCTTACCACTGAATAGCTCTGGCGCCCTGTTGTCTGTGCAGGTGGAGATGTGCAGCTGGAGCTCTCGCTTTGGGACTTTGTGGCGAGCATTGTAGGGGCACGTGGCCAGCTCTTTGGCTCTTTGCTTGTTATTCTGGAAGAGAAGCCACAAGATGCCACTATGCAGAGACAGCAGGGAGGTACAGTCATGGGTTCTGCTCACTGCTTCCACAGCTGCTTGTAGGGTGAGGCAGCTGAGAGGATCTCTAGGGATGCATCAGAGCCAGAAGACTGGCAAGCTGGAAACAAATCATTGACTTGTCGAGTGCGTAATGAGAGAGCACCACTCAGTAGGTCCACACGCTGCAGCTGGGAGCAAGCCTCCAGACTGGCCAGAGACTTGAGCTAGTGGTGCTTGAAGTAGCACACTAAAAATAGTAGTGTGGACACTATAGCATGGACTGGTGCTTGGGCTCTCAAACCTCCAGAGTGAAGTGGGCTTAAGAGCCCAAGCCACACCATCCACATTGCTATTTTTAACTGTATTAGCTCAAGCCCCACTACTGTAAGCCCATCTACCTGGGCCATGAGACTCTCCCCTAGCTGCTGCGTAGACATACAGATATGTGCAGGAAACCTGGTGCATCTGCAGCAGTGCTGAATTTCTTGGATTTGATTCTTGGTTGCTCCAGCCCAGGAGGAGGTGGGGGAGCAGAACAGGGGGACTGTCTTCAGGCTACCTTAGCTCTTCCTAGACTTGGGCTGAGCCACTCCTGCCCTTGTTGCTGCAAATTAGAGCAACCTTTGGGCTGCTCTGACTTATGTGGCTCTACTTCTCACGGCCCTTGGGCAGCAGAGCAGAGCTATAGCACAGATACTCTAGCTACACCCAATGCAGCCACAACCTGTCCCCTACGTCGGGGCATGGAGCTGGGCTAGCTTGGAGCCTGCATCCAACCCAGGGAGGCTCCTCTGCAGGCTGTTGTCCCAGGAGACCATTTCCACACATTTCAGGTCCTTTTGTGCAGCCAGAGTTTTCTAAAGGGACATTAGTGTAACCTCACTAAGGCACCAGGGCCCCTCAGTGACACAGCTTGGATCCAAGTCTGCCCTGAAGTTCAGGAGCTTTTGAAGCCTGGGTATCTCCAAGGGTTAACTCTGCAGTGAAGACGTAACTCAGGTGATCAGCATTTGGGCTGGCCTAGCTCAGGTGAACAGCCAGACCAGAGCCCTGCCCAAGTTGCTGGGGCCACACTTACTTATGCAAGGCTCTCAGACTTCAGGGGGGAGGGGGCACAGAGGAGGGGGAGGAGGTGTAGCTGCTGGCTCTCAGCTGGGCTGCTCTATGTTCCCCCCAGTGAATTGTGGGATAGCATTAGAGGACTATCAGGTTAAGTCTGGATCTTCAGTGCAGATTACCAAGAGAGGCAATCAGACGCTCGCCTACTCAAGCATGGGCTAAGCACCACCACACATGGGCCAGAGGGTTTGTGTGGATGGACAAGAGCCAGGGTAGGGGCAACACCCAAGTTAAATGGGCAGTGAAAATAAGCCTTAAGTGCGAGTTTCACATAAATGTAGATCTAGTCCATCCCCTGCACAGAGTCAGGACCAAGTGTTATAAACACTTGGGATGGGCTAGATCTTAAAAGTCTCCCTAGATAATCCCTAAATCTCCCTTGCTGCAATATAAACCCATGATTTCTTGTTCTGTTGTCAGTGGATAAAGGAGAACAATTTATCACTCTGCTCTTCATAGCAACTATTACCTACTTCAAGACCTATTGCCCTCCCCCCCCCCCCCCCACGCCTTCCTCTACACTGAACAAACCCAGTTTTTTCAGTCATTCCTTGTAGGTTATATTTTTTAGACCTTTAGTCACTTTTGTTGTTCTCCTCTGGACTGTCTCCCATTTGTCTACATCTTTCCTGGAGTGCAAGGCCTAGAACGGGACAATACTCCAGCTTGGGCCTTATTAGTGTTGAGTACAGGTGAAGAATTACTTCTTTTGTCTTGCTTACAACACTCCTGCCATTACATCCCAGAATAATGTAATACTATTGCAAAAAACACCAAATATTGTGACTCATATTTAGTCTGTGATCCACTATAACCCCCAGATCCTTTTCTGCCGTACTCCTTCCTAGGCAGTCATTTTCCATTTTGTGTTTGCACTGGAGGCAGAGGAAAATAGTTTGCAGGGAACAGAGAGAGGTGGCCATCTCCTCTCTGGGCACCTCAGACTGTCCCACTGCTTGCTCTTCTTACCTCTCCGCATTTGACCAAGTGGTAGGGGAACCTGGAGGCTCGGATCTGGTGGTTTTTGTCATAGGGGCATGGGATGAGCCGCTCAGGATCCATCACACCTGCACAACAGAAGGCACACGATACACAGATAGTGAGGCCAGGAGGAGGGGTAGACTGCCAGGGGTGATGCCTTCAGCAGCTAGCACCCCCATCTTGAAGGCCCAGTTCTCCCCTTCCACACACAGCTGATCCCAGCAGAGAGCAAAGGGGAGCCCCAGCACTGTTTATGTGGCGCTTGGGCTGTTTCTGTTCCCAGTGTTAGAAATTTGGCCAGAGGGTACAAGTGATGACCTCAGGCATGGCATGGCTGTGGCTTGGCCAGTAAGCTCTTAGGGTTGCAGTTGGCAGCACATGGAAGCAGGGAACTGTTAGTCCTCCAGTTAGAAACAGGCAAGAAATGGGGGGTGGGGTGTTATCGGGGTTAAAGTAGCACCCGTTGTCAGTGGAAACTTTCCTGACACTAGGACAGTCTCAGGTGATACAGGGAAGGACACACACACTTGAGGAAAACTGCAGGGGAAAACTGGGTCTTTAAGATAGACTTTAATGTGGATGGGATCAGGGCCTTGAGGGTAAGTTCAATGAGATCACACCTGGTAACAGCCTCCTCCAAGCACTCAGAGACCATGAGATTTTAAAGAGTAATAAATGATAGGATCAGAGACTTTAAGGATCATGTTTTCAGATTTTATCTGCAACCACAATGCAAGCAGGGAAATGTGGGGAACTTTCCTGGCTGCTGCACTACCCCAGTGGTATCAGACAGCAAATGGATCTGAGTCCTTGCTCCCACTCCCTTTACCCGGATGCCCACCTGACCTGAAGGCCTCCCTTTCTGCTCTCCCATGCAACAGAGTCCTCGTAACCCTGACAGAGCTGGGCCCTAAGATCCCTGGGAGGCTTCACCCCTAGTCTTGTCATGGTCTTTTAGGCCAGGGTGCCCCTCCTCCGGGGCACTCTCTCCACACCAGCCACTTCCCTGGTTCAAACTGAATAGGATTTATTACACAGCAAGGAACAATAAGAAATATAATGCAGAAATGGAAAGATGAAGACACAAGGACCCCACCCTGTGGCACAGGGACACCACAACCAGCCATCTCTGTGGCTTCAGGGAAGTTCACAGCCTGTTCCTCGCCCATCCCAGGCCTCCTCGCCAGGCCCTCACTGCGCTGCAATGACACTGCGGGTAGACACTTGCTCTGGTGGTGGCCATGCACCCTCAGGCTCTAGGGGGCAGGACCTTGCTCCCCAGCATTGCCCCCCATTGGGGTCATGACCAGTGATGAGCTGCCAGAATGTTAATAACCAGTTCCCTACCGGGTCTTTGGCAGCACTTCGAAAACCCAGAGTGAGTGAAGGACCCGCCACCGAAGTGCTGCCAAAGACCCGGTAGGGAACCGGTTATTAAGTGCCACCCGAAGAGTACAAGTCCAAGAAACCCCACCCCCTAGCCAACTTGCCCCGCTCCCTGTCCCATGACTGCCCTGACCCTGTTGCCAGCACAGGTGTGCTCGAGGACAGCAACAGTGGGTTCGTGGCCCGGTGTGCTTCGCGTCAATGAACACACCAGGTGGAGAAGCAAGCAAAGTTTATTTGAGATCTCAAAGTGGTGCAAGGAGACTGGCACGTCTCAAATCAAGCACGTTAACAGAAACAGCTTTTCTTCTTTTATACATTTTGCAGTCAAGCCTCATTCCCCTCCCCCCCACTACCCCTCCCCTTCTCCCCCCCCACCCATTCCCCTCTCTCTCTACCCCTCCCATCCCTGGTAACAATTACTAGGCAAATAGCATTACATTTAAG